TTCAAATTGATTTAAAGACAAAGAAACTGTCAAACTTTATTGCGGAATTGAACAGGAACAAGTTAAATTAACAACCAATTGTTCAGAGAACAATTGATGGTCTTTCCATATCTATTTTCTAATGGATTGATAAGGAACTTCTTCCGGTTTACTCAACGTTCCTATTGGCGTCCAATCATAGTTTTCCTTATACTGATTCAATAAATATATTGTTTCTATATACTTCTGACTAAGTTCAGGGAGATAATTTGCTACATTCGGTTTAGAAAATATTACTTCCGTCTTCATATGATAGCTTTATTCACACTGATTTCCAAAATATATGGTTTCTCTATACTTTTTCTTGAAAAAAGGGAAATAATTGCAAACTTCCGGTTTAGAAAATGTCACTTTCTGTCTCATATTATAGTATTTTTTACACTGATTCCAAAAAATATATTGTTTTGATGTATGTTTGTCTGTATGAGGTAGATGGTTAGCTTCTTCGGGTTTAGTCTGTATGAGGTAGATGGTTAGCTACTTCGGGTTTATTGATGGTCACTTTTGGTCTAAAATGATAGTTTAATGTATATAGATAGATATAATGCCTTCTTGAAAAATATAAGGTTGCTAGGTACTTTTCAATGAAATGAGTGCAAAAATGGCTACTTCCGGTTTTCACAAAGTCACTTCAGGTTGATATTTCTCAAGGTCATATGTTACGCAACATTTTGCAAAAAACCTTATGGCTTTATCATATACCAAGTTGAAGTAATAATCAATTAACCATAAATTTAAACGTTTCAAGGACTATAACTCCTATTAGGTGTCATTGAATTGTTTAGACTAAATGAATCATATCTTCTTCACAAGAAAGAAAACATTTTCCACTAGTTCTTTTATATCTATCCTTAAAATTGTCAGAGATCATTTAACTACGAAAAGTCAAATTTGAGAACAAGACCTTCACTTTTGACATTGACCTGAAATTCATTTTTGAGTACCAAGGACTTCAAATCCAAATACCTAAGGTCTCTATTACTTACCATTTATGTGATACATTATCACTGAACTAGTATATATATTTGTTTAGGGGCCAGCTGAAGGACGCCTCCGGGTGCGGGAATTTCTCGCTGCATTGAAGACCTGTTGGTGGCCTTCTGCTGTTGTCTGTTCTGTTGTCGGGTTGTTGTCTCTTTGACACATTCCCCATTTCCATTCTCAATTTTATTTTACATATCACTTATGTAAAATACAGAAGGAGAAAAAAATCGCAAATTGAGTCTTCGTATCGCTTCGTATTGGACAAAACATTCGGAGGATATAACGATCAAAAAGTAAAATAACAAAAATACGAACTCCGAGTAAAAGTCAATAAACAAATGACAAAATCAAAAGCTCAAACACATCAAACGAATGGATAACACCTGTCATACTCCTGACTTGGTACAGGCATTTTCTGATGTAGAAACTGGTGGGTTGAACCTTTATAGCTAGCTAAACCTACATAAATATGTCGATTTCTTTTACGGTTACGTAGGAGATGCACGAACGAGAAAAGTAGTGAGACAACTCTTACAATCAAAATTGTTCAACTAAACAGGGTCAATTTTAAAAATGCAATAACTGTCTGATATCATGTGCAAAATATACGCGCGACAAATTGCGAAACAAAAATTACATGCAAGAAACTTTGGGCGGAAGAAGAAAAAATAATATAATGAGCAAAACAAATACAATAGGTCTTTCCACAGAAAAATCGAAAGAACTAAATATTAGAATACTTTTTGACATGTAAATTTTTGGTAATTAAAATGAAGATTAAATTGATTGCTCTGATGTGTGGTTATAGTTCGAGTTGCTTTAAAAGACAAGTTTAACTTTGCCGTATAACTATATCTATATATGTTTTTGACTTTAGACTTTTCTTCGTACACTTTGAGCTTTTTATTTTGCCATTTGATTAGGGACTCTCCGTTTAGAATTTTCCTCGGAGTTCGGTATTGTTATTTTACCTTTTTTACATAAGTATTCCCCATTCCAAACTGAAAGACAAATTGAAAGGGTTGGCGCTGCTTTGTTTTGTAAAAACTAATATGGCCAACGTAGATACAAGTATCTTGTCCTAGGGAGGGATAAATCCTACTTTGTAAAAAATAAATCTGATTCAAACAGAAAATTCTCTGAAACAGACATCATCAAGATGCTTGATTCTTGATTAACAACATATTTGTTACGTTTGGAGGACGTGTTTTTTCAACAAACAATCGGCATTCACATGGGAAGCAACTGTGTCCTCTTCTTGCCGACTTGTTCCTTTATTCTTATGGCTTCAAACAGGGACTTCTTATGAAGAAAGAATAGAAGTAAGCAGTATCCTTTAACTTTATTTTCCACTTTATAGATGATTTTTCAAGGAAAATTTGGTGACTATGTCGAACGCATCTATCCCGTCGAACTTGAAATAAAGGATATAACAGATACAGTTAAGTCTGCCTCATATTTGACGTACGTCTTAATATTGACCATGAGGGTCGTTTGAAAACAAAACTTTAAGGCAATGTTTCATTTCTATGTAGCAACGTTCCAATGGCGCCTGCATACGGAAAATGTATCTCTCAGTTGATACGATATTCAAGGTCTTGTGTTTCCTATCATGATTTCCTTGATAGAGGGTGGCTGCTCACAAGGAATCTACTAAACCAAAAGGTCCAAGTGGTGAAGTGTAAATCTTACCTTCATAAATTTACGGCCACCATCCCGTGTTACTTGATTGTTATGGACATACTTCAATTCCGTCCTTTTTTTCTCATATGTGACCTACCGAATTAGACTTATTAAGATGCTGATACTAACATCAGCAACATGACAGGTGTCACATGTTGGGGGTGATCTGCTTGCCCTTCCAGAGCACCTGAGATCACCCCCAGGTTTTGGTGGGGTTCCTGTTGCATGGTGTGTATTTTTTTATATTGTGTTTCGTGTACTATTGTTTGATTGTCGGTCTTTTAAGCCATGGCGTTGTCAGTTTATTTTCGACTTATCTGTTTGAATGTCTCTTTGGTATCTTTCGCCTCTTTTATAGATAAAAATGAAGGCCATACTTTTACCTATAATGGTTTACTTTACAAATTGTGACTTGGAAGGAGATTTGTCTCATTTGCACTCATACCACATCTTCTAATATCTATGGGCTTACGTCAACCACAGGTGTTATTTATAACCTTGTAAATACAAAAGTATTTCTGGGTAAACTAATTAAGGATTACATTAAATGTAAGACTGCATTCTTAGTTTTACATTTGTCATTTCGGGGTACTTTATAACTTGCTATGCGTCATGGGTGTTGCTCATTGTTGAAGACCTTATGGTGACTCATATGTGATTTTTTTCTACATCATTTTGTCTCTGGTGGAGTGTTGCCTCATTGGCAATCATGCATACCGTATCTTCTTATTTATATACTGATAACAAACTCTACAATTTAAACTACGCAAGACATTTTCAACATGACTGAAGGAGCAATGCGAATTGAATTCCTTGGAAATGAGATGTGCCAATACTTATACAACTTCATAAAGAATCCATTGACTTACTATTTCTCTTTTTCCTTAAACTAAAAAAGCAGGCCCAAACAATCACCAAGGAAATGAGATGAGCCAATAATAATACAACTGCATACCAAATTCTATTGATATTTGACTGACCATTTTGTGATTCCCCGTAAATTTACATAAATTGTCAACTATAAAAAAAGAAGATGTGGTATGATTGCCAATGAGTCAACTATCAACAAGAGACCAAATGACACAGAAATTAACAACTATAGGTCACAGTACGGCCTTCAACAATGAACAAAGCCCATACCGCTAAGTCAGCTGTAAAAGGCCCCGAAATGACAATGTAAAACAATTCAAACGAGAAAACCAACGGCCTAACTGTCCATTTATCAGCATTAGCATACTCTCTGTTTCATCCATTGCGTTGTAGTAACAATCAATTACACTCGTGCATGTTCACACTATATTGACTTCAACACATGTTATGCTCATGACTCCCTTATACTAAGTGTACCTTTGATGAAGGTTATAAATTTTAGGTTGGTTTTCAACTGTTTTTGTTCTTGGCTGTCAAATATTCGGCTTTGAGCGTTAAATATTAGGCTTTGAGCGTTCCTGATGAGGTTAAGTCTAGAAAAGGTCTTCGGACATATTAGAATTTGATGTGTTTATTTTATTTACAGCATTTTGTCGATGCCGCTGATGGTGGACTTTCAGTCCAAGAGGGTATCAGCATCAGCTCCGTAGTTTGTACTTTGGTACTGAAATCATTTTAAAATTTTACGTTTATGATTTGAAAAATTATGAAAAAAACTACGTTTCCAATTCCCTCAGGAAATTTTACCTAACTTAAATTTGGCTATTATTTTTAAGTCCTTTTTTGGCATGGAGCTCTTTAACTGTTTCGGTTTTTATACATCTCTGCATTTAAAATAGTAGTTTTTGGCTTTGGGCATTTCTAGCGAATGTTAAGCCAGAAAAACGCTTCGGACGCATGAAATCTATAATGTTTCGATAGACCGATACGACAAGTCGTTGTTTCAATTTACTAACAACATGTTTTTTGCGGTCTTAGGTCTTTATATACCAGTATAGTCGTCTGATCTGTTATTATGCCGATTGTTTTCTATTCCCAACTGTGCAATTTTGACTAAGTGTGGATTTGCATGGGTGGATATGCATGCATAGCATGAGTGGCTTACCCTGTAGACACACCGGTTTGTTCCTTTTCGAGTTCATGCGATTTCGTCGGGTTTGCTTGTTTTTTGTATGTTTTTTTTTTTTGGTTTTTTTTTCCTTGATTTGTCTCTTCCTGTTCGATTACGAGACTTGAACATTATTTTGAACAGATTAATTATTGTTTTGCACTAGGTGTTTCAAGAAAATAATAAAATAACAAAAATACGGAACTCCAAGGAAAATTCCAGACGGAATGTTCCTAAGAAAATAACAAAATCAAAAGCTTAAACACATCAAACGAATGGATAACAACTGTCATATTCCTGACTTGGTACAGGCATTTTCTGATGTTGAAAATGTTGGATTAAACCTGGTTTTATAGCTAGCTAAACCTATCACTTGTATGACAGTCGCATAAAATTCCATTTTATTGACAACGATGTGTGAACAATACAAACAAACAAACATAATAGATAAAAATGTCAAATGTAGGGGTACAGAAGTCAACATCGTGTTATAATCTTAATCACTATAAATACAAACAAATTTGTCAACAAAGAAAAACAAAAAAGGCATAGAAACACATCAGAAGCAAGGAATTTACAAAGTGTAATTTCCATACACTAATAGTTGAAATGAGCTGCTTATTAATTTTAATTGGTATCTGTTTAGGGTACAGGAATTGAGGGATAAAACATTAAAAAGGAAAGGGATATTTTTTTTAATTATTTGTCGGGTGTTTTATATTTACAAAACGATGCAGTTTATATACAATTATTACAAATATGACAAATATTGAATATAGATAGTGTGAAATACAAATGAAACAAATCAAATATAAAAAGAAGATGTGATATTTTCAAAAGCTGATTTAGCATAATTCAGCTAACTAAATCATATGAAACAATAAAAACGTCGTTTATATCATCATTATCATGGACCCTGTCGCCTTTTCAGAAATCCTATGGTCAAATTAATAATGTCCTGAGTTTTATTTAAAATTCTAGATTTAATTATTTTAATGCAGCTGCATAGGTAATAAAGTAAACAATTGTAATAAAAATGTATCGTTTAGTCATGTCATGTAATGTTTGCACTTTGTGCAGTGTATTCTCAGGAACACACAATCCACATTCAGTTCTACCGAACCTATGTATGTAATATTATAAGTCAAAACATTACGCAAAAAGGTCTTAGATAATAAAATACTTCACATAAAATGTACATTCACTCTGTTTAAATGTCAAAATAACTTTCCTTGATCTTATCTTATTATTTTTTCATGAAATGTTTTTAACATAAGAATATGTTAATGTTATATTACAATATTACAACGAGATGTTTAGCATTTCAAATAAAGTTGAATGTTCAATTAAAACATGATTTTATGAGAGTCTGGGTAAAATGGTATTCTTTAACCATAATTTCCTCTAAAATAACTAAATATAGGATTACTTCAATGATTCCAGGACATCTATAAAATTGAGAATGGAAATGGGGAATGTGTCAAAGAGACAACAACCCGACCACAGAACAGACAACAGCAGAAGGTCACCAACAGGTCTTCAATGCAGCGAGAAATTCCCGCACCCGGAGGCATCCTTCAGCTGGCCCCTATGTCTTTTTATTATTTGAAAAATACACTCATATTGATGTCACAGACTTAACCCTAAAGTATATGTCCTACAGATGCAACTTACGAATTCTTTTACGAACAACCTCAAGTTCAGTTTTAAATGCATCTACATTTTCTTTTGTGGTTGATTTTAATTTTGCTTGCTGTTTTTGTCGTTCGAGAATAGCAATGCGTCTGTCAAAACCCATTTTTTTAGTTAATCTCTCTTTTTGTATAAGCATTTCTAAATAGTCCTCTACTGACATTGGATTTTTCAATAACGCCATCAGCTTCAGTTTATTGATTCGATGGGTAACTACTGGCAAACACATAGAAAGAGTTTCTTCTGCTTCGCTAATTTCTGAATGCATTTTAGAGATGATATCGATCTGATTTTGTATACCTTTCGTCGCATCTTTATACGAGCGCTTTTTATCATTATAAGTCTTGGTGCATTTGCTAATAAGGTTCCGGAAATGATATGTTGCTTTTTCGTGATACATTATATCACATCCAAAAGGACAGTGTTTACAGGTCCCGTCGTCTTCCATGGCTATGCACTGATATTTGCCTGTGTTGCAGGTGCAGTTTTCATGACATGAATATTTGCATCTCGTGCAGTTCATACTGTATTCCCCTTTTTCTGTCGTATCGATCTTTTGAACTTCAATTTCTTCAATTTCATAGGTGAAATCTACATTCTCCCTAAATTTTTTTCTTTGAACTTCATAGATATCAATTTCTTGCTGTATTGCGTCAATTCTTCCCAAACCGCGCTCTATTGTATTTTGCATTTGTTGAATAAGAGCATCAACTGACCTGCGCATAATCAGAACCTCGGTAGATAATGTCAAACTTTTTGTTCGTAAATTCTGGACATGTTCGAAAAACCTTTGCATACTTTTCCGTCCTAAGTCCCAAAATATTTTGGACGTTTGACAGTGAAAATGGTCAGATGTATTTTCAACATATAATGCTGAATTATTTACTGTGAAATATGATTCGTAAGGTATAGCTTTTTCGTCCAGATCTTTCAGGGCTTCAACGACAGGGGGGGTCTGACCATCTGCAAATGTTATCACCGTACATATATTTTCTCTTATGTCGTTTCCGAACAATGAAAGAATTGATGTAAAAATATATCTCTGGCTACTGGTTAGCCTTGCATCCGGAGCTTTCACGACAAAGCATATAGCATCAACAAAACGTACTCCCCTTTCGTCTCTGCCTTTGAATAGATTTTCAATTTGATTTACTATTTCTTTGTCGTACTTGATACCGCCTGTATGACCAAAGCCGGGAGTATCAACTAAATTAATGGCATGTTTAATATAACTTGGAGTTCCTTGACTTGGGTGAATCTTATAACAAGTTACCCATCGTGTTTGTGAAACCGCCTACAAAGAAAAAATGTTTCATACTAAGACAACTATTTTATCTTTAAGTAGGAAGTGTCTTAAACAGGCCTAAAATTATCTTTTATATTGTCTTGTGTTATTACTCCGATATTCATTTAAAGACTTACTTTGTTAAATTCAATTCTATTTATGTACTATGTTTAAACAGTAGAGGACTTGCAACCATCGGCGTTACTATTTAAGCGATCAGTCACCATTCAACAATCCATCATTGATCAGTCAAATTCTCGTCAAGTTCACGTCATCGATTTGTTAAACTAATCACGAGAAACTGTTTGACCATTTTTGCAAGCCAAAGCTTACGATCCAGTGCCCTCCTCTCCACCAATGGCAGATTAAGCGAACATTTGTGATTACAATTCTTCCCCGTCTGCCAGTAGATAAAAGTCACGCCCATTCCGACTACATTATTCTTCACCACTGGCAGCACTTGAACTCTCTTCAGTGTGAAGATGTAAAATGGTTGCGTTTAGTGTTTACAAATTTCGTGAAGCAGGAACCGAAAATATAAATTGACACTCAAAAATGTGCTCGAGAAACATACCCAGGAACTTCAATTAATTGATTAAGAACTTTAAAATTGTCACGCAATATCGTCCTATGTTTTTGGTTTTAAGACTTGTTGCACAATCATCACGTGGCAATCTTTTATTTACAATTCCTACACAAGCAAATGATCATCTCAAAACCACTTTTTGATTGGATGCAGCCATTAACAACTGCGACCAATGGGAATTATTACTTTGTGAGTACAAAATTCTTTCTCGATCCGAGAGTAGGGGACTGGATCGTTACCTATGGCTAGCGAAGATGCTATTTGATAATTGGATGGATCAGATGGATTGATCCGTCTAGCGGATTGAACTTTACTATGTTATGTTGACTTCTTATAAATAACGGAAACGTAGTTTTGTTTTGTTCAATTAGAATGGCACCATGGAATACCAACAATTTCATTCATAACGCAACAAAATGTTCACAAATTTATAAATCCCTGTTCGTAAGAAGAGGAGTGAACTATGCAGATGTCACTAAAATTTCATTATGATTAAAGGATTCCGATTTTCCTAAATATATATGAGCATTTTTAGAAACAATATGAGTACACTAAAATTTCGAAAATGCTCTCAAAATTGAATAATCAAAAAATAAATAGTATTGACGGTTCATGGTTTCCATTAAAAGAAAGAAAAAGTCCAAATCGGTATATAGGTACAAAATTTAAACTATCTTTACTCTTAAATTATTCTCAAACTATAATGCAAAAGAACTCATCCTGAGGAACAAAACAAAAACTTAACTAATAAGGGAATTTTAAAGCAATACCAACATAACTTTAGTATCTTTTCTCTTATATTTATTATTTTGTATGAAAAACAACCAATGAAGATGTACAAATAGTACCAATACCGAATGACGATTCACGTATTCCGTCAAAATGAAGACACAATTGTAATCATAGTCAAAGAAAATAAAAGAATAATGTATACATGGGACACAGACACACCCGCTTGTAATATACGATATATTTAGCCAATGTCTTTTTTCTAATTTATAGAGGGACTATTTGGAAGCATTGCGTAATGATTGATTAGAAAGGTGCATGAGTTTCAATTCAAAAGGTAATATGGACATGCTGAAAAACTGCTAAAAACAACTATTACTAAGCTCAAAAACAAAACATTCGGTATCTGTTCTCATGTAATCGTCATAGGTATTTTTTAAAACAACCTAACCTAATGTTCCACGTTCAATGATGGTTCATGAATTCCATTAAAATGAAAAACTTATTTGCAGTCTTAATGAACACAAACAAATGTTTTAGTAAAGCATGCTGTAATAATATCCAAAAACAAATAACTCATTAATAGGCACTATAATGACTGATTTCGAAAAAAAATGTGAATGGTTTTTGAAAGAGTGCGAACATCTTTTTGTACTTTTCCTTTTCTTTTTTTATTTTCTTGACAACCTATCCTTATATACAAAATGTACTAACATCCAATGACGGATCATCATTACAACTAAAATGTAGAAATAATTTCATTCTAGTTTAACACAACTCAAACTTGCAGTACCTTTACGTAATTTATACAATTACAGATACTATGTTTTGGTTTTGTGATTTTCTGTAGAACAAGTCTGTATGATATAGTTTGCGAAGTTCTAATATAGCCAAATATTATTATGATATTTGAATGATATGTGTGGCTCAAAATCACATAATGGTGTCTCAAAATTGTATAGAAAGATGTAGATTTCGTCTTTTGTCATAAGACTTATCTATAATAATATAAAACTTTCATATCAATGTATCAGAGTAATAATAAGAATGTAAACAAATCTATCGATTTACATTGAACGCATGGAGACAATTTTTAAAGACGAGAAAAATAAATCATACACGAATAATTTCTCTTTGATTACCGTTAGATAGTGTATCACTTATTTGAAACTCTAGCGAATGCGAACCTTTGAATGACCAACCGTCCTAATAAAACAAAACAAAAAGTTATTCCCTTGTTGTACCCAATTTTTGTTTTGAAAACTAATCGTGAAAACTGCTATAAACGATGTTATTTACTTGATCTCATTAATATAAAAACTTGTTTCAATAACCGTTCATACTTAATTCCTTCAAAAAAAAACTGGTAAAATAGATGCGAAAGATACCAACAATGACCAAAGGGATATTAAAACTCATGTTTCGAAAATAAACTGAGAACGTCATGGCATAAAAAGAAAAAGACCAAAAGACAAACAACGGAATTCAAAACACAGCATAGAAAACTAACGATCGAGCAACACATGCCACTACTTTGTTAAATAGCTTCCTTTGTGAGCATCAACTGGGAGATACATACTCCATATGCAAGCGCTGCTGGAATGTTGTTACATAGAAATGAAAAATTTACAATTGGGGAGCTGTAATCATATCTTTTGTCGTAAGATTTCATTCTCAACCGACCCTCCCTGTCAAATTCGAGATTTATGTCAAGATATGATGCAGACTTAACTGTATTTTTTCTACCCTTTATTTTAAGTTTGATGGGATAGATGCGTCAACATATTCATCAAACTTTGAACTATTTAGTATGAGGACATCATCTTTATAGCGGATAGTGAAGATAAAGGAGAATGCTTGCTTTTTTCTAAGAAGCTCCTTTATAAAGTCAGTTTCATTTGAGTAAAGTCGGCAAGAAGAGGAGCACAGCTGGTTCCCATAGAAATGCTGATTGTTTGTTGAAAAACATGTCTTTCAAACGTAACAAATATGTTGTCAAGTAAGACATAAATATCAGCTTTAGGGAATTTTGTTTTTAAATCAGAGTTATTTTTTCACAAAGTACGATTTGTTTCTTCCTTATACAACATACGTGTATCTACGTTGGTCATTCTTTTTATGAAACAAAGCAGGAACAACTCTTTCAATTTGTTTATTAGTTTTAAATAGGGAATACGTGTGAAAAGTGCAGAAAAAACGTGAAATGATTTGATAAAATTGCAAGATAAAAAGAGTCTTAAATTGTGTGTACTCTAGATCTTTGAATTTTTTTAGGTGTCCACATCTGATTCACGCCGCCTCTAGAATATGTAGTTGATAAATGATTTGAAGCCCGGATTTGATTGCTGATAAAATTGATGTTAATAATTTAGAAATAACTGTCTTAGAGCGCTCGAAAGACCCAGCATTATACCATTGTTTTTAAGGACACTTAGTAATTAGTAATTTAGTATCCATTACAGTGAAGAAAGATCCTGTTCTTCATCTTTGGTTGGAATTCAAAACAAACATAGAACAGACCTATGATTATCCAGGATTTTGATTTTAGTCAGTGTCCTGGTCGTATATGTTGAGTTTCGAAGTGAATTGTGAATACCTGATACTTTTACCAAGCAGTTTAAGTATTATGATTTACACAAAAAACGATGTTGTTTGTGGATTTATCTGCAGAGACAACAACATATCTGTCATGGAGGTAGGACAGGTGCTTTGCAACATTCGAATTTTAGATTTTTTTTTATTTAATTTTGATTTGCATCAATGTCCTCACAGCATTAGCCATTGTCCTAGCTACTATCTCGTCCCCTTTTCCCCGAATGTGACCTACCGAATAAGACTCATTACCGGGTGTTTACTAACATGAGTAACACGACGGGTGCCACGTGTGGAGAAAGATCTGCTTACCTTCCGGAGCGCCTGAAATCACCCAAGTTTTGGTTGGGTTCGTGTTGCTCAGTCTTTAGTTTTCTATGTCGTGTTTTGTGTACTTTTGTTTGTCTGTTTGTCTGTTTGTCTTTTTTTCTTTTTTAGCAATGGCGTTGTCAGTTGATTTTCGAATTATGAGTTTGAATGTATCTTTGTATCTTTAGCCTCTATCCCTCTCTATCCATTCTGAAATAATATCTATGTCTTTTTCTTGCGTTTAACACTTTACCTGGCATCATCCTGGACTAAATATATAAGTAATTTGTTTTTAATTGATGTACTTAGGCTCACGATATTTCGGGCCATTGGATAAAAATGTTATTGACAATGTTTAGGTCACCAGTAATAACGTGGCCAGTCGGATCATATAAGAATGGAAAACTAGAAAATGTGCAATCGGGAGGTTTAGACTAGAAGTCGTCAATATTAGGATATTTCAACACGTGTTTGTAATTGAAACTATGCCTGTACCAAGTCAGGAATAGGACAGTTGTTATCCATTCGTTTGATGTATTTGAGCTTTTGATTTTGCCTTTGCTTAGGAACATTCCGTCTGGAATTTTCCTCGGAGTTCGGTATTTTTATTATTTTACATTTTTTCAATACGAACTGTCCTAAGCCAGGAACCTGTTGTTCAGTGGTTGTCGTTTGTTGGTTGGTATGGTTAAGTTTTCCTGCTTGAAATGTTTTACAATAGTCATTTTGGGGTCCTTTATAGCTAGCTATTTGATATGAACCAAGGCTCCGTAGCTTTTATACATTGTGACTTGGATGGAGAGTTGTCTCATTGGAACTCATACAACATTTTCTAATTTATATGGTTTGAAAATCCTGTAATAGGCTATTTCCGTGATGATAGATGATATGTAAGTTTGTATTGGGTTGAATAAGGGTTTGGAACAATGGTTTCCAAACATAAAAAATTAAATTAAACTAACTACGAAGTATTTAATATTTTAACTGTTTTTACTATTTCTGTAACGTAAACTGCATACTTAGTAACCGACAGGAAGTAGTAGGTCTTTAATTTTTTCTTGTCATCATGTTTGTATAACACATATAAATACTGGCTTGGATTTTTATTGAGTTTATCATAATCATAAACTGCTATTAAAGGACATAATAAACGTTTACTTTGGTTAAAACAACACGGTGATGATAGGTGACTTTATACGATTGTATGCATTTCAAACAATAAGATGAGGGGAATTCATCGTAATATATTACAAAATAAAGCTGACACCCAGGCCACAATACAACCTGAAATACGTGTACCTGTGATTTCCCATCAGTAATCTCTTTTCCTGGTGGAATTAAAACTAAGCGAGCACTGTCTTCCCATCTCACACCAGCAATGTGGTTTACCATAGCATTTACCAACGTTGTTTTACCAGAGCCTGTGGCTCCAACTAATAAGATTGTTTGGTCTATAACAGAAGCTGTATCTTCTCCTATAATACAGTATCAAAAATCCTAAATAAAACTTGAAATGATTGTGCAGTTCATGCGAAATGTGACTAATTATATTTGGAATTTAGTTAATCCTCATAAACAACAAAACATCATTTCCATAGGAGTTATATCTGAACCACTTCATAATGATAAAGTCTTCAATAGCCGGTGAGATATTCTTCCCCAAACATATTATAATTATTTTAAACGACAATATGCTTCAAGTGCATCATAGTACATACATTAAGGGTAGTCTGTGCCGACCCAATCAATAATATCTTTGACTAAATGCATTTACCGAAGAAAAACACTCCTTAGTAGTGAGCGGATAAGGTCTGGAGTACAAGGGTGCACGAGTTCTCCGTTTAATCGGAAAGAATCATTTAAAAATGCTTGAAGTAGGTGGATCCTGATTTGGGGATTATCTTAAGTTTATATACTCATTATTTTATAAACTGTTAATAGTTCCTAATTTACAAAGATTTCCTTGAGACAAAATAAAATGTTAATGCAAATATTATCGTTTCTCCTGGAAATAGGTCTTATGTGATTGCATGAACCATTGATAATCTCTGCAATAAACGATATTTGCATTCTTGCAAAGATTATTTTATGTACGTTGTATGTTTCAAACTAGCTTAACATTTCTGCTTTTATAAAAAAATATTACAAATTGTACACACCTATACAATATTTTCTTGTTTTAAAAAGTTCATTCCTTGCTTCTTTGTTTTCTGTTAGTGGTAATTGGTACTGGTTTGTTGGGTTTTCACTAATCAATTTTGTTGTACTCAACAAATCGTTTATAGCCGATTCCTTTGTGGTGATAATGTCGCTCAGTAGACTAGATGGACCTTCAAACTCTGTTTTTTCGCTGACTATCTTTATCTTAAAAATATAACTGGTCAGTGGTTGTAGGTTTTCTATCAAGATTCTCGTCAATTTACATGGTGTTTCCGACAGATATTGAACCCATCTTCCCTCGTTGTGTATTTTATAGTAAATCTCAAAGCAGTGACCCTGTTCGAGTTCATTTTCGGATTCCCACTCTAGCTGAATATTATCTGAGCCTACACCTTTTGCAAATGGTTTAGTTACATGCTTCCCTCTACTGTTATACTGTAATGTAAACATGCACCTTGTCTCATATAAACAGTAAAAAAACTAACCATAATCTACTAATAATGAAATAAGAATCAATCTGAACATTCACTTTGGTATGTTAAATTACCTAGTCGTGACGCGTAAGTCCAATGTAGCATTTGGCTTCAAAAACATTTGTGAATTTTTTACTACTGTCTTCAAAAATATTGATGGATAAACTCGGAATATATAAATTTCTTTGTTCTAACAATAAAATATATTTTCTGACATCGTGCAGATGTTTTGCACCGACCTAAGTGTACACATTTTCAAAGTCAGCTAAACAGTAAAGTTTCATTGCTTTTATTTCATATTATGAATCGTAAAACATTTCATCTATAGATTGTAGAAAATTTGAATAGATTCCGTCAATTTCTGTTTGCATAATTGGTTGATTAAGCATTTGCATAAAAGGTCTTATTGCAGTGACCCCTTTTTAAAAGTCCTTACGTTTTACACGACGCGACTAGCATATCTATCGGATTAAAGTGAGATAAGATGTTACAATAGCGTTAGAAATTATTCCCTCCTGTCTTGGATTTCTGTTCACCAGGGCAAATGCAAATTAGATAAAGGTCTATTGAAGCCAGTTAAATATGTCCTCTGGACAAAATTTGGGACACACCTGTTAATTTTAATGTCCTTGTGTTGTCTTAATTATAACATAAAATATTTTAAATACATTTGCAATTGGTTTAAAGGAAATCGTATATCTACGGAAACCATAATTGGACACATAAAAACTTAAATTACTCAGTTATTTCGGACTGACAATCCGTTATCTTGGATTCACAATGAGTAATCACGAATTCGCATTCCATTATCTCAGATTCCAAATGAAAATTTTTTTAGTTGGTGTTTATACCGGCCTCCAAACTCAAATTCTCATATATTGGACTTATTTTGTGAGTCAGTAGATAGTAGATAAAGCAATTGATTGTAATTTGCCAATTTTCCTTTGTGGTGATTTTAATTGCGATATGATGTCAAACACAAGTAACTCTTTTAAAAAGTTACTTAACCGTTTAAATTTAGAAAATGTTGTTTGGGAGTCTACCAACTTTACAACCCAAACTGGAACTTGTATTGATTTATGTGTGACAAATCTCAAAAACGTAATTAAATCAGAAACTGTTTCAGTCGAAATTTCATTAAAAACAACACTCGTTTAAAAGTCAAATTCGTGATTTTAAGCGTGGAGATTATGAGGGTCTTAAAAACCAGTTGATCGATACTAACTGGGATGATGTTGTTTTTAATTCAAATAATATAAATGATGTTTATATGAACTTTTTCAAAACATTTGAAAGTACTGTCAATAGATATATACCTACTAAAACTATTACAGTCAGACCAAATGATAAACCATTTATTTGAATTTGATAAGAAATAAAATAAGACATCGCAATAGAATTCACCACAAAGCGAAAACTCCAAATAGTCCAGAATTCGTAATGAAATTATCAGTTTAGTTAGAAAGGCAAAAAATTAGTATAAGTGCAAACTGACATCACAATTTATTTACAAAAATATTCCTCCTGGTAAATGGTGGCGTATTGCCAAGTCTGTATCAAATTTTCCAAAAAACAGAGATTCACCCCCTTTTTTGGAACATGATAGCCAAATTTGTAATCATCCATTGGACAAATCAGAGATCCTGAACAATCATTTTGCTAATATAGCTAATATTGATACGGAACCAGAAATTCCTGATAATAACGAGCCTCCTCCATGTCATCTAAACAAATTTGTCATCACTGAGAAAGAAATTTTAGACCAGTTAAAAATCTTGAATGTTAACAAACCATCGGGACCTGACGGTATCAGTCCTAGAATTTTAAATGAGGTTGCTAGCTTTATTTCTAAACTATTAACTAAGTTATTTAATATGACTCTATGAGTAAGTGTTCTACTACCAATCTATCAGTGCTTCTAACTACCTCCCTTACTACTATCAAAGAACTTGATATTGACTTTTGTAATAAAGCTTATGCAAAAAATGGTATTAATTATTTTTGGAGTGTTAAAAATTCTTTAGAGGTTTTAGATAAAATACATGCTTTTGATTGTCCTTTTAATTCTGTTGACAGTTATGAATGTTCTATTCTCTATACTACACTTCCACACAATCTTATCAAGAAAAAGTTTTCATATTTAATTAAATGGTCTTTTGAAAAATCTCATTACAAAGTTATTTGCTGTAACTCGTTTAAAGCCTTTTTCTGTAACGAAAAAGGAAAGTATGCTAGATACACTTACTGGAAATGTGAAGATATGATTGAAGCTTTAAATGTTCTCCTGGACAACATATATGTACGTTTCGGCGATAAAGTGTATCGACAAGTAGTTGGTATTCCTATGGGCACTAACTGCGCCCCTTTAATAGCAGATGTATTCCTGTATTGGGTATGAATCTCAGTTTATGACCAAACTCAGTAAAGACACGTCATTGTTACATTTGGTTGATACATTCAACAATACCTTCCGTTATCTAGATGATATTTTTTCGTTATATAATCAAGAGTTCTCTAAATATACTACCGAAATTTACCCAAAAGAACTTACTTTAACGAAATCTAACATAAACAGCAGGAGTTGTCCTTTTCTAGATTTGGACATTTCAATCTCTAAAGGAAAACTCCATACTAAAATTTACGACAAAAGAGACGACTTTTCATTCCCTATTGTTAATTTTCCTTTTTTAGACGGCGATGTTCCTTTGGCTCCATCATACGGTGTTTATACATCCCAACTCGTTCGTTATGCTCGTGTTTGTAGTGATGTCATAGATTTTAACGAACGTAATCAATGCATCACTGGTAAATTATTATGTCAGGGATTTCGTTACCATAAACTACGTAAAACATTTACTAAATTCTTTCATAGATACAAAGATTTGATAAGTAAATTTAGCTGTACCTGTAGAAAACTGATTAAAAACGGTATTTCACATCCTAAATTTTACGGTAATATTGTACTTAAAGCGCGGAAATCACTATGTGATCCGTGTAAACTCATCGAACCTTTAAACAAACTTATTAGTAAAGGTTACCTTACCAATGTTGTAATTAGATCTTTGAATATAGTTTACATTGGCACTAATATCGATTTTGTCATCAGCAAATTAAAACATAACTAAATGTGTATTCTTTTCAAACGGGATGTATAAAGACACATCCACGTTAATTTTGATATATAAAGAGGTAAACTCCTAACTATCCTACTGCCTGTCGATACATTTATTTTTGGCATTGCACAAGTCATGTCTTCTTTGACTGTCCATGACGTTAAAATACTAAATCCCTGGGATGTGTTTTAGTTGATTTTAGTCTCTGATGCATGATTAATATTAATTGTTTTTTGGCTTTTAACTAGCTGTCAGTAACTGCGAGTACTCTCAAATCGTACTTTCTTGTTTATTTGACCTGTTGATACTAATTGTATTGCTTTTTTGTTGTTTAATGTTATTCAGGGTCTATACAACATCAAAATTATTTATTTTGTAAAAATAATCCCTTTCTCTATTTGAACTGTACACGTATTCCTAACAATAAACTTATTTTCATTTACCTGTGTTTAAAGTAATTGCAAATGGCATATATTTTTGTTCAAGCATATTGTTTTTCTTAAATTTTTCAAATCACAGCGGTATAACATGTTACTTTAATTATTCTTCCCTTAGTTTATCTATTTTGTATTTATATTGTATCATAGATCAAATTTATTTGATTAGTGTATGTTCACTAGTGTTAATATGTCTTTTAATTGAGTAAATTCATTTCAATTGATATTTAATAGTGTGTCTTTCTATGTTGTTATGTTACACTATTGTTTCAGATAAGGTTGAAGGTTTGGTACCATTTAAACGTTTAAACCCGCTGCAATTGTTTGCACCTGTCCTAAGTCAGGAATCAGATGTTCAGTAGTTGTCGTTTGTTGATGTGGTTCATAAGTGTTTCTCGTTTCTCATTTTTTATATAGATTAAACCGTTGGTTTTCCCGTTTGAATGGTTTTACACTAGTAATTTTTGGTGCCCTATTGTAGATTGACGTTCGGTGTGAGCCAAGGCTCCGTGTTGAAGACCGGACTTTGACCTATAATGGTTTACTTTCATAAATTTCGACTTGGATGAAGAGTTGTCTCATTGTTATTCATACCACATCTTCTTATATCTATTTACTGCAGGGTTTGTTGCTCGTGCTGTGTGGATGCAGTAGAATGTGTCCCCGTGCTTGTGGTGTATTCCCTTATATTTTTCAATTATGGGTTGTTTGCCTGTGAGAGAGCTTTTACATATTTATTAAATCTTTGTTCTTAATTGTTAATTATATATTATGGTGTTTGGATGTATAAATACTCATCCACGCCTGCTATTTTTATTATTGCCCCCTTCTATGGTTTTACTAAGATTTCTTACAATCTCTGTTTTTGCCCTGTGTTTGTTATATGTCAGTATTGTAATACTTAAGTCTTTACGTCGGGCCTTTTATAACAGTTTTTGTAAGAGTTCTTTTAGAGCTTTGCCTATTATTTCCTATTCCGTAATTGTGATCCTTATTCATTGTTACAACCTCCGGTCTTTTTTATTTTTCTTATACCCCTATCTAGTTATCATGATTTTACGTAATGGAAAGAAAATTATTAAAAACACAGATTCTAGGTTATCCACGTGCTTAAACAAACGTATTTGTAATGCCTCTACAGCTAGATTGTTTAACAAAAATGCACGTGGATATCCACAAATTTTCCCGTGCAATGCCAAAAAGTGACTAACCTGTTTTAGATTAACTTCACAAAATACTGTAAGGTCAACAGTGAACGGGAGAGCTTTTTTGCTCTCCTTTTTCTTGTGACATTACCTGAAAAACTCAAAACCTTATATATGTGGTAACTTGAACCCAACCTAAGTGTGGTATTCAATATGTGGGACAGACGGAACGAGAGTATTACAAAAGAAATCAAGAACACCTTTACC